TAGAGTTTGTTTGGCCTGTTCCTATCAATGATGACTCTTGAAATTCATTGAAGGGAAAATGCTGAAAGTGCAGGAGTCAAAACTATTCAGCTCTGACCAGGCTGGGCTTTTGAAATGTCGCCTATTATAGTACCTCCATTATAGATTTTAAGTACAATTTAAATGAAATTTGTTTTAGTGAAATTTTGTCTTTTTATATTTTGCAAGATTTTATAGCCTCCAATGAACATAATTTAAAATTGTAAGACATCACAAAGGCTTGCACGTAATTGTTTTTGTCTGGTGACTAGCTCAATTTACTATTATTGTTTTCAGAGTAAAAGAGAAGATTTGGTAGTACAGAATATAAAGCTAACCAGAGTGGACTAGGAAAGCATTGTCCTCATACATTGATGTTTTATATTTAAAAGTACAAGTGCTTCTCAGTTTTTTTATTGTGAATTTCCTAGTTATATACTGCCAGATAACAAACTATCTCATTTATTCAAAGTCAGAATCACTTCATTTGGGATCAGATGATGTATGTTAAAGGCATCATGGGGTGGATTGTCTCTCTTCTTTATGCTGTCTATGAGCTCAGTATGAAGAAGAGGGGTAGGGCCACAGGGGCAGGGCCACTATGACTATTGACTCCATATGCAAAGAGGATCTTCCACGTGGCCTGGCCTTCTTCCCACATAGCAGATGAGTTCATATAAGAGATGCGTCAACAGGAAACACACAAACACCAAAGTCCAAGAAAATAATCAGGCAAGAGCTAAATGCCCACATCTGAACTGACTTCAGAAGTTGCATAGCGTCATTGCTGCCATACTGTATTGGTCAAGATAGTTCCAAGCTGACTCATATTTAAGGTGAGGGACTTGGACTCCACATATCTATAGATAAAATGCCAAAGAATGGGGGAAGCATTCTTTGAAACAGTCATTGTAGAAGCATTCAATTCACAGCTCTCTGAAATACTCTTCTCTGTCCTTTCCTCCCAATAGTTCAAGGGTACACATTTGTGGGGCCAACCAGATAACTTAACAGACTAAAGCACCTGCTTAGGAAGAGCACAGAAACTGGGGTTCGATCCCCAGCATGCCCAACCAGCCCCACCCCTGGGGTGTGCAGAGACTGGCTATTGAGACTGGTGGTGTGCACCTGTAATCCCAGTACTTGGGTGGCTGAAAACAGGAGAATCGTTACGAATCTGACTTATGTAGTAAGACCCTGTCCTAAATACATTAAAAAATGAGTACACATTTGCAATATGGTTGGGCAATAGTAAAGTATATACATCATCATTTCTTTACCTTACAGTGGTTTTGGTTCCAGGGACAGCAGCCCTCCCTTGTACTGGCTTGAACAATAAATAAAGTTGATTAATTAACATAACTAAAATGTCCAACAGTTAAGCAAGTTTGAAAAGAGGGTTGGTCGAGGGGCTCAGGAGCATAAGTGAGAAGCTTTGTCCCCCTATTTTAGCATAGTGCTACTCTTGGGGCATGGACCCTGTTCTGTATCTAGTCACATCATGTCCATTAACTTAAGACTGAGAGTGTGATTGGTCCATATAGACCTTGTGTGTGCTGCTCAGTAGGGAAATGAGTAGGTTCAGTACTAAGGCAGTGGGATTTCCTTTTCACTTTGAAACCCCTTCCTGCACCGTAAAGTCATCAAGCCATGGGGACTGAAGCTACGGCAGTGACATCATCAGTATCATCTCAAAATGCTGGTCCAGTGGGCACTTACTCTTTGGCACCCTGCTTTTGATGCACATCAGTGTCATACTTAGAACTCTTGGTGTTGGAGAAATATTTTGACCAAGCACAGAGAAAACAAGCACAAAAAGTGATTCTCCAGTTGGTGACTCTGTTCCAGTAAATGGTGGAACCATCACTGGGCTCCTACGTGTTTGCAATTGGTGACAGGAGGAGAATGTGTCCTACCTGTCGTGGGATTTGCACTTTACCTCAGGAAGGATGCTTCCTATCTGAGGCTTTAAACTCATTCTTGAGAGTTATTCTCCCTCTGATTTTTAGCATTGGTACAAAATGTTATAATGCATCCCTCTTCTGCAGTGACTTTATTAATCGTCTTTCGCTACATGTCCATGAAGTATGGCAGGGTTACTGTCCTCATTTTGCAGTTAAGGAGATGGGGACAAAGGGTTATGCAACTTGACCCAAGGTACACATCAATGCACAGTAGAGCTTGTACTAAAAAAATATATTTCTGGAATTTTGACTTGCTGCCATTTTTTTGGAGAATTATGAAAGTTTCAAACAAAAAATAACAAATCATAAATAACAAACACTTGGGACTGTGTTTTCTAGCCTCAGAATTCTTGAGAAATAAATATTTACAGAGGCAGTAAAAGCCTTAGCTTCATACTCCATGGCTGCCCTCCTCTGAGAAAATTAACAGCTCTCATTTATTGTTTTACATTCCTATATATTTATTCTCATACATATATATTCACTTTATGTATATATGTAAAAATGATAGTTTTGTACATTAAAAATATTAATTTTATCTGGTGGGAATTTTTCTACTGTAATTTTCACTTCTCAATATGGTTTTCATGATGTACTTATGTTGATGTGTGAGATATTTGGATTTATTTTTTTTGTACCAGGGATCGAACTCAGGACCTTGCACTTGCAAAGCAGGTACTTATGTCACTGAGCTACATCCCCGACCCTAATATCTTGTTATTTATTTTACTTATCACAGTATTACACTGAATGGAAACATAGGAATTTGTCCATTCCTTTTATGAATATTTACATGTGCTTTTTTCCTGCTTAATATAAATAATGCAATGAACCTTCCTGTGTGCAACCTTTCTCTCATTCTTTTCTTGAACTCTGAAAAGAAAAAGAATATACTTAGAGATATTTGCATGGAAATTCAATTACAAGAAACTCAAGTGCTGGAGTAATACGGGAATGACTATCAAAAAATAGGGCCTATTAGCTCTCTGTACATTTGAGAAGAAATGATGAAAGTCTAAAATGCATCTCCATTCTCTGTGTGTCACGATTGCCAGCTGATACGTCATCTGTATCTGTCCATCATTGCATCTTTCTGCCATTGTGTCTATCAGCACAGCGTGGAGTCTTAGACCCACCAGCCATGCTCCCTCAGGAGTTATCAACACATCTGAAAGCCTCAGCTGTTGTGGAGCCAGTCATTACTAATGATCCTTCTTTCCTAAGCCAGACTTGGATATCTGTGGTCTGCAGAATTTTTACCAGGTTGAAAAAACTTGTCAACAAATGAAATGTTGCGTGGACAGCTTTGTGCTCTGAATAAAGCAAGCTTTGTCATTATATAAATAGAAACAGTGTCTTGAAAATTTGAAGAATATTGAAACAACTTGCTTTTAAGAAATATGTCATGCAGGAGGAAAGAAGCATCTGAGACATCATGTATGTCTGTTCCATGCACTGTCTTTATGCGGTGGGAGAAGGCAGAGGATGGCCATTTGTTTGACTGGTTAATAGCCTGATAGGCTGCTTTCAGGTAGCTTTATTAAAGACTTTGTGTGTCAAAAGGTAACTAGGTTATTTTGAAAAATATTTCACTTTATTCTGGAGTCCCAGCATTCAGAAGAAGCCAGTCTGTTTTGTTAATAGTCAAGTTGTCTGCAACACCATCAACTAACGGTGGAAACACCAACATAGAGTAGACAGCAGCAGTGGCACAGAGCACAGGAGAATCAGCCTCAGACCTGACTCCTCCTCGGACCACGAACCATGAAAAAAAAAAAAAAATCACTTAAGCACCGTGTTTGTTTCAGAACAAAATTCCTGAGACCGTGAACGTATTTCAGTTCACGCTCTTGGAATTTCTGGTCGAGTCAGTCTTTACGTGGTAGCTCAGGAATCAGGAGTGCCGGCTCAGTGCCGGCTGATGTTCTCCCTGTGACTTCTAGTGCGGACAGCCGCCACGTTGCGGTGCCTGTGCAAGTCTCCTGGCACACTCAGCTGTCCTGGAATTGCCCCCCTCTCTCCTTGGACTTGACGTCTTCCCTTACATCATGGCCATAGTACACATTTGTCCATCTTACTAATCTGAGGTTACTTTGAGTGTCTTTGTGTCACTGTAATTTAGGGGGCTTCTTTTCATATACACATACTATATTCTCTATTGCTCTTACAAGAATTTTATTTTAAAATATGTAGCTATTTTAAGTGACATAAAAATCTATCAAAAATTATATTAAATACTAAAACCTGACAGGGACTTAAACAAATGTCTTTTTCTACCTGTGTATACTTACAGAAAGAGGTCAATACTTGAATATATGAACACACACATGTGCCATATTACACAAATTCAGTAATTTGACCAATTCCTTTTTTCAAGGATGTTAAGGATATTCCCTCTATATGTCAAGGATATATTTGTCCATAATTTTTAATGACTCCTTAAAATTCCATTTTATGGGTTACTCTAGGTTTGTTTTGGTTACCATCTATCAACATTCAAAGCAGTGATTGTAGATCTGACTCTTTACTCCTCACCTGCTATTAGCATAGATTTAAAAGCACTATTATGGTCCTTACCTTCTTTGATGAGTTCCGGAGCCCTGGGCTGGTTTTATAACTCTCTTAAAAGCTTCCTTTCCTTTGTCGCTGGGCTGTGTCCTGTTATAATTCCCATGTGCCCGAGTTACCTACCTTGGAGACGCGATGATTTTAAGCCATACCTCTATTTCTTATGAGAACCATTTGTTATATAGTAAAAATCTGACCTATCAAAGCTTTTGATACCTTTTAGGAACTAATATAGCAGAATCGTACATAAATTTTACCTGAATGTTTGAATTTCACTTCCCTACCAAAGCCTATGTGTTTCAATTATACTGAGCTTTATTCTGCCCTCATGAAATCCAAGCTATGTGACTGCTTTCCATGAACATTTGCAGATATATTGAAGACAACTACATGGGTAAGATAACACTAACACTGTTTCATTTTTTTCTCCCTTCTTACCCCCACCTTCAGACATTTCACATTTTCAAGAACAAAATGATCTAAAAGGATTACTAGAAAATCTTCATCAAAATATCCAAGCCAAAAAAAGAAAGAATGTAGAAATCATGTGGCTGGCTGCAACGGTGAGCACTCACGTCAAATCTCATTTTTCATCACAGCATGCATTATTGGTTACCTATTAGGCAGGGCCCCACCTTGAACTTTGGGTTAGCAAATGCCATCCCTATTACCCGGGATATAAGATGCTGTCACTTTACTGATAGTCCTATAAGGAAGCGAAAGCATGCCAAAGAGGAAGAGAATTTCAACAAGGAAGGATCCTTGATTTCTCTTACCAAACTGGGATGTATTTGGCAATCTGAGGTTGAAATGAATTAGCTGCAATTTTCTTGGTCTTGCAGGTTGCTGTGTCAGTTTTCCGCATCAGCCAGGTTTTTAATCTGCAGCTCTAGAGACATATGGTTTCAACAGACTGTGGTTATCAGATCTCTGACTCACAGCTTCAATAAGGCTTCTGGACATATTGTTGACTTAATGAGCTTGTAAATGTGTTTGTTAATTTAGATATTGGCATAGGATTTATTACTGATGGATTGATCTTGGGGTAATGAGATGTGTTTTGTACGATTCTTTCTCACTTAATGGCACCCTTAGGGTAGAAGATCTGTCTATTTTCCCATTGTAGATTTCTGTAAAAAGAGAGAGAATTATGCCTGTATTTTTAAACTCTTTTCTGGCAAACATGAGGCATAAATCACATGAAATTTATGAATTTTATTAAAATTTCAGATCTAAAGATCTTTCTTTAGGAAAGCATTTTTTCATTGGGAAAGACACCCTGGAGAGATCTAGGATGTATGCCATATTTTTTATTTCTACAGTGTTACTCATAATTTGGGTTTTAGGCTAAGCAAGTGTCTACGTAGTTCTCTCAGCAGCATCTAAAACAGACTCTTCTTGAAGGCCAGCAGTTCAGTCATAATCCAACATAACTTATTGTCCTCTGGGAAAAAAAGAAAAGATATTTTATCATGGGATTATCTTAAATAATTGAACAAAAGCACAGCAAAGGAGATACTTTTGTCTCTCTTGAAGCGTTTCAAGTCCTGGGGAAGATCATCATGGTAACCATAATGAGAGAGGCTTTCTGGCAGCTCTGTTACGCTGCTCCATATAGCATCAATATGCACGGCATAAAGACCAGTTGTAAGAGTTCTTCCCGGTGTGGCTGCTGGTGGGTCTTCAGAGGAGACCATGTAATTCTCACATAGTAGATCATAACTTTTTTTTTGTCTATTTTACTAATAACATGATAGCATTAAGGTAGCCTGATTATTTTCCAGGGCCTTCTAACCACGTGGATACAGGTAAGTGCAGAACAGTGTACATATAATGAAATTGCGCAAACAAGGATTCACAAAACAGAGACTAATATATATATATTTTCTACTACACTTATTTTTCCATTTGGCAGGATATAAATGTTTCCCTAAATCCCATGTATTTCCTACAATATTTTTCTGAAATGTGTATACTAATCATAGATGACTTCTACAGAACTTAAAACTGAAAATGATTATCAATTATCAGTTATCTACTTCTTTAGGCTGATATGTCAGCTTTAGGATCTCAGTTGTAAACAAAGGAACTAAACAATATTCTCAAAATGAAGAAATATACTAAATCCTTTTGATGTTTTTCAGCAAGCTTTTATTTCTCTGTCTTTTTATTCTTTTCTTTAAATCTTATTTAGTGGGCTGGCCAGATAGCTCAGCAGATTACAGTGCCTGCTTAGGCAGACACAGCAACCAGGGTTCAGTGTCCAGCATGTCATGCCAGCTCCACCTGCAGGGTGTGCTGATACAGCGGTTGAGACTGGGCGTGGTGACGCATGCCTGTAATCCCAATGCTTGAAAATAGGAGGATCACTACACGTCCGATCTGTGTAGAGGGACCCTGTAGACCCTGTACTAAAGACGTAAAAAATTATAAATCTTATTTAATGACATATTTCTTGTGTTAATATTTTATATTCAAATTGAAACATAAAGCTATTCAGTTTTATCTCAATTTAAATGCGAAAAATGAGAACATAAAGAAGCAAGATGCTAGTTGTGCATGCTGTATGAGGCCTGTAGAGCTCTAGAACTGTGGACATAGAGAAAGTAAGGCTCACATTTGTCTACTCTGGTGAAATTCCTACCACCTTTCCTTTACTTTAGATCCGAAACACTAAATATCATAAATAGGAAAGTTACATGTAATGAAAAGAGTAAATTTTATATAAATTGTTTTTAAATGTCTTATCTTCAAGAGCATGTACTGATGTCTACTTTATTACTCTGGGTATAGTCAAGCTTTAAAAAATGTGAATTACTGTTTATTGAAAGGACTAGAATTTTCTCACTGAAAATCAGATCATATAGTGAAATAATACTCTCATGTTTATGCGGTCATTTTATTGGGATTAGAAAGCATGAAGGTCTAAACTAATAGGGGTATATAAATCCTTATATAGCCTCAGAATCCCAATTAGAATATGGTAAAAATATCTTTATTAAGACTATATAGAGGGGCTGGGGAGATGGCTCAGTGGATAAGCACTTCCCTGGCAAGCGCAAGGACCTGAGTTCAATCCCTGGTTCCACCAAAAAAAAAAAAAAAAAAAAAGACTATATTGAGGCCAGGGAGATAGCTCAGTAGAATAAGCGCTAGCACTTCCCTGGCAAGCGCAAGGGCCTGAGTTCCATACCCGGTTCTGGAAAAGCAAAGCAAAACTATATCATCTTCTCAAAGCAGGCAACTTTTGAAACCTCCTTGGTGGCCAATAATAAGGTTAACTTTATTGTATCACATTTGTCTCAGTTACTCTTTCCTCATTGCTGGCACAAAATGCCTGACACCCAAAATGAAGGAAGGAAAGGTTTAGTTAGCTCACAGTTAGTGGAGGTTTCAGTCCATACTCAGCTGGCTCCAAGGCAGAGCAGCCCGTGGCACAGAGAACAGCCATCCATGGCAGAGGCAAAGAGCAAGAGAGCAAAAGGAGTGGCATCAGCTCAGGCAGCTAGCTAGCCTCTCTCCCCTCCTCACATTGTAATGTAGAATAGCTGCCCAGAGCACTCACACCCATAATCACAGCATTGGATCCTGAATCAATCACAAACTCCAGAAGCCACTCCATGACTGCATGAAGCTCTAGGGGACACCTAGACATAAACTATAACAGCATTCACTTTATTTAAGTGTAAATTATTTGGCAGTGTTGAGGCTACAAATGGTTATCAGTGGCATCTTATATCAGAAACCTATCCTAGGGTAGAAGGAAAAAGAATGAAATGGTTTATCTACCAACCATGAGGCAGCAAAACAAGAAAATATTGGAATAACAAAGTTGAAATAAGAATTAAAAATGGAAATTGTAATCACAAAAAGAAAGACTTATATAGAGGGAAGCTGAACATGACAGAATTTAAAGATTTGATTCTTGTTTATAAGCACACAACATGTGTACTCTAGCTCTGCTTTGTGTAGTGCAGGTTACTTAAGCAATCTCAACCTCAGTTCCCTCATCTGTCAAGCAGGAGTAATTATGCCTTCCTCTAGGGTTCATGTCAAATTCATTACAGGAGAAAATTATGTAAAATTTGATAGTATTGTACCTGGCACACAGTAAATGTATAAAAAAAATGGTGCAGATTTATAATATTCTCATGGCACCAAATGGTTTTCTCATTTTATACCATGCACATGCTTAAAATATTATAACATAAAGCCAAATCTACAACAGGTTTCTTAAACAGAAAATGCCATGTTAGCTAGTTAAGATTTAAAGCAAGTGTCCAATTCCCACAACATCAGCTTTCCCTTTTCTTAATGAAGTTATTGCTTCTCCCAATAAGCTGTAACCATTCTTGCCTTGGGGCACCACTGTCTTCTCTGCGGGCTCTCTCCCATGTCCTATGGCTCCAACAATTCAGCTAAATACAGTAATTACACCTCTTCCTTCCAAGTCTTCCAATCAGAAAAGGTAAACAAACTGCACTAGAACCAATTGATTTTCATAACTGAATCTACACCGGAAGTCCTAGTTGGGGTGCTTACCCAGGAACTATTTAGGGGAAGCCAATGCATGAGTAATACACATGTGAATAATAAATTGCTTTCCTACCTGTCTGTCAGATTTGTCGCAAACTGAATGGTATTCGTTTCACCTGCTGTAAAAGTGCCAAAGACAGGACATCCATGTCGGTGACGCTGGAGCAGTGCTCCATCCTGAGAGACGAGCACCAGCTGCACAAAGACTTCTTCATCAGGGCGCTGGACTGCATGAGAAGGTAGCCCACCATCTTAAGGTCTCTTTTATGTCAAGGTTATGTTGAGATTCTTGTTTTTTTAAAAAGAATGTCTTACTGGAGGATTGGACATTTAGTAACTTCACTGTATTTCCATGGTTTATAGCTCATGGCATGCGAGAGAAAATAGTTTTACCATTCACCCTGCTCATCTCAGGTAATGAAAGGGACTGTGGCCATGCCGGCATTTAATAATATACACAGAGGCCATATTTCTTTAGCTCATTAGCTTCTTAGCTAAAGTTAAAAGGCTCTGAACATTTCATATGTAACACATGTTGCACAGTTTCTTGACATAAAAGTGGCTATGAAAATGTGTGAAATAAAACTATACCGATATCCAAACAAAGCCTTTCCAAATTGCAACTAATCCTCCCCTATGACCTGTATGATCTGTAGTGAGAATGGGTCACCTCCTTCCTAACATTATTTTCTCATTACTCATTGCAAAGATAGGATGACATTGATACTCTAAAATAGAGAATTAATATTGTTACAGCCGACATTTAAAATGCTGTGCCCCAAGTCATGAGTCTTGATTCATTTTCACAGTAATTAAATCTCAAGACTAAGCAGTAATGGAGAGGAGAAAGGGCCTGATTCTCAGTGTCTATCAGCAAGGACACATGTTAATTTAAAAGTTAAGTGAATTGTCTCTGCTGCCAAGACAAGCTCAGAAGCACACAGGAAGTGAGAGGCAGGCCGGGGTTCCTGGAAAGGCCTGTGCTGTGTGCCTTTGCAGAGGCTGCTGCTCGTCTGGTGTGGCGTGAGCCCCGCTCTTCTTTTAGGGCTGCAGTCTGTCAACAGAGACATTGATGCTTGTCTGCACTTGTGCTGTGCTTGTACGCTTCTCCACTAATGAGCGGTTTCTGAAGTCCTCTATTTTGCACATTTTTCATCTCTTGACATTTTCACTGTACAGTGGAGTTTTATCATAATTTTTTGATAAGTGAATAAGGATGTTTTAGAGGCCTGACATGAACATCTCAGCCATATCATTCATCTTTGGTTGCTATAAAAATTTCTTTCAAAAATAATCTCTGAGCAAGAAAAATTCTGAACCTGAGTCCAGAGTCTTCTAAAGTATAGAAAAAGACACAAATAAAAAGAAACAGAGGTGTTTGGGGAAGGTACCAAGAAAACACAATGCAGTAGGCCGGGGTCACCATAAAAGTATTGAACTCAAAGATTCCTGCAACGGTGAGATCATTACCTGTTGGTTTAAGCTGCAGATCTCCCCTTAGATGGTAGGCCTCCATAAAAGTAAATCCAGGACATATCTGTTGGACACACATTAAATCGCAAAATCACATATTTTGTATTTGGTGAGGCCATTCAAAATCAACATTGCGTATGCAATACATTTGTGTACAACCTACTGTTTATGGGTGTTCGTCTTGGAACTGTTAACAAATAAGGTGTTGGAAATTTAACCTAGAAACACTAATTCCCTTCAATTCTGTATTCCTATTATCCTGGTAATATCTTTTCTTCCTTTTTTGCTAAATTTCAAATTTGTTGACCTTATCCTTCCATTTCATAAAGTTTACACTAAAGTATGCAGTGTCTCTGTGTGTATGTGTGTATATATGTCAAGTAAATGAGACTTTTTAAAAACTAAGTGCCTTCATGTCCCTCTTTGGATATTCTGCCCAAAAATAGAAACGTAGAAGTTTGGTAGACTGGCAGCATAGCCAAGCAGATAAGACTGAGAAATTTGCCACCAGCTGAGCTCAGTTTGTCCAACTATCTGCCACTTCCTAGCCATAAGGACAGTAAGTGTCACTGCATGTTGGTGCCTCAGGCAAGTTAAGTACCTCTTGGTGTTCTTGGTTCTTTCATCTACAAAGCATTCATGGCCATAGTAGCCACTTCCTAGGACTGCCTTGAGGATTAAATGAATTCATGTGTGTACAACAATTAGAGCAATCTGTAGTAAGTCAATATTTGATGGATAAGGCAATCCCAGGCCTCATAAAGCTAGCACTCTGATCTCACAGGTACTTATGATCTAGCTGATCATGACCTTTGTACTTTTATGTATGTGAATACAATGTGGCATAGATTTGGCTTCAGTACCCTACAGTTAAGGGTTCTGGCAACTCTTGTAAATAGAGTTTGAGATATAAGGTTTTACCTACTTAAAAAATAACCTCTTTAAATAGCGCTTTAAAAATATGCATGTGTTTACAAATGCTATGCTATTTGTGGGAAGATTGCATTCATTAATGTGAGCCTGAATTGGTTTCTTATAAACATATTTAATGTCAGTGTGTATTTTTGCATGTCCTTACGAATAATTGTGGAATTTGAGCTCAAGGAGTCATGTTAAAAATTTCACTTTATAAATGAAATGGGGCTCTAGTGGGTTTTGTCAGAGACTACCTATGAGTACCTGGATATATTCTTCTTGTTATGTTTCAATGTTATTTATGCCCAATGGAATGAAGTAATATTGCTCAAAATTATTTGGTAATGTACTTAATTATTTCAAATCTGTTAGTTAAAATAGAAGGCATTTAAAACTAAAAGCAAACACTTGCATAAATTTGAGACTGTGAAGTCTGAGAGGCCTGCTGAAAACCTGAGGTATGAAACACACTCTCCCTCTGAGAGTGAAATGCACACTCTTACTTCACCCTTCTGTGCCATCCGTGGTCATGTTTATAGCTAGACATCATGCCTGGTGTCTCCCCTAGAGGCAGATTAAATAGAGGTTGAAGAAATTAAGGAGTCCACAGAAGAGTGCTTTCCTCTGCTTTCTGCTCTTGTGTGACTTCTTTGTAACTTTTCTGCTTTTTAATAATTTTCTCATTTTAAAAAAATGAGGTTTTCATCATGTGCTAAGAATAGAGTTTTCTTCTTACTTCTGAAAGCAAGTCAGTAATGGCTGATACATTGTCATCGAGCTACTGAGTCCAGTATGGTCCCCAACCCCCACTGATGTGTCTGTTGAAAACATACTTGGATTCAAGAGCATGCAAGCCTACCCTGCCTTTTACTGTTTTCCCACCAAGTCTTTGGGCCACTCGTGTCCACCAGAGATGTGGCAGGTTAGTGGCTCTCAGCTTTTACTGACTTCCCTGTTGAATTTCTGGCTACTCCATTGCTCTGGGGAACAGGCAAACTGGAACTGTCACCCCAGGCTGGATGCAGAATTGGCTGTCAGCATTATTTGTCCCCAACAACGCTAATGCTTCAGATGGTGCTTATGAGTCACTTTTTCCACTTCATATAAGGTTGTGCAGTTGCTGTTTTCTGCCTCCAGCCCCATGGTGATGAAACTGGACTGAAAGGAGCTGGGGACCAGCAGCACAAATCCCCTGGCACTGCCTGCTCTGACCCCTCTTGAAGCAGTGCTTCATATACTGAGCCCTTCTCAAGTTATTGCTTGACTCTGGTTAACTACCAGGTGGTGGGACAGTGTCTTCTGGGTTTCCAGTTTTACCAAGGTTTGCTCAGCTGCTCACCACCAGCTGGGGAGTTCTGTCGTGCAGAGGGGCCTTGGAATCTGCATCAAAATGCTTCTAAATTTGTTTGAATTACTCATGTTTAGTTCCCTCATGAATTGTAATTGAGAAGATCTAGGTTAGACCAAAGATCTAAAATTTTAAAGGCTTGCAGTATAAAAGGCCTGCCAAATAGCTTAGCAGATTAAAGCACCTGCAAGCAGGCACAGGGGTCAGGGGTTCAATTTCTGGGACTGCCATGCCGGCCCTGACCCCGGGGTGCACTGAGACAGCAATAGAGACTGGGCATGGTGTTGCGCCTGTAATCCCAGGTCTTGGGAGGCTGTAAAACAGGCAGATCACGAGTTTGATCTAGTAGTGAGACCCTGAACACCCTGTAGACCCTTTCTAAAATACAAAAAATTAAAAAATTAAAAAAAAAGCAACAAGGCTTTCAGTATAGTCCTGGATTTAAAAAAACAAACAAACAAATAAAAAAAGCAGTGTCATAAAGGTGTTTTTTAAAAAGTTATTTTTGAGTTTACTCTAATTTGTCATTTTACTCAACATCAGTTGCAATTTATTTTACCTTTGCATTGTTCCAGTTGGCCTGTAGGCTATTTTCTCTGGATTTGCTTTTCAGTTCTTTCCAGATTTTAGCTTATCCTTATCTATACACGATATTTTCTGTTGTGTTGTGGTAATCCCAGTAACAGCTTCAACATTATCTATGGTTGTGGATGAAAAGCAATAACTGAGCTTCATCTGCTTATTCAGTAATCCTCTCCCCATAAGGAGCTCTGTTGGTGGAGGCATTCATTTTCCTTGGTTCCTTCCTCTACCCCAGGACCTATGACAGGCCTCTAGTTACAACTGAGTGATTGAAATGGCAGTACAGCCCCTTGATATTAGAAAGTTAACAAGGCATCTGGGTAGATCCCACTATGTCAGGTTTCTTGGTGATTGCCTATATTGTTAGACCAAAACAGTTTATTATCAACATTCATTGACCATTAAATAGAATATATGGAAGAAAGGGGGAGAGAGAGAGAAGGGGGGAGGGAGGGAGGGAGGGACAAATGAGACAGAAAGAGGGAAGGGGAGAGGGAGAGAGAGAGAGAGAGAG